CTTTACTTGCAAAATCATTCATTGTAGGGAGGTCTTAAAATAAATAATAATCAGCAAAATAAGTTACCTTGCAGTTATGGTCTTTTGTCATTTTATGGATTGATAGAAGATTTAATATAAGATGAGGAGTAGATTATATATCATTGATGATGAAGTGAAGGAATTTGAAATATTTCCTTAATCTGAATGGTTGTTAGAGAATCATCGACCATTACTTTTCTAATTGTAAGGCAAAGTTGAAGGTTTGAAAAGATTGCCAATTTTGGTCATTCGGTAAGTGGTTCTTGAATCTAGGATCTATGCTTGAGGTGCTGAAAACATAAGAGCTAGAAATCATACCTTTTTAAGCTGGAGAACATGATTTAAATGGTTTTACTAAAGAGTTATAAAGTTCTTGAGTTTTTCAGTTTCTTTTGTATTGAGCCCTTCTGATTTTATAATTTGGGCTTGGTTTTTTTTGTGATCTTTGTTATTACCACCGTGGCTTGGAGGTTTTTCATGGAGTTTTTAGCATATTTGTTTTATTTGCCCTATCTTTTTGTAGTAATTGCAATATAAATATATTTGGAAGAAAGTTTTTGTCCTTCTTAATGGAAATATATTATAGGCAATATGGGTATCAAAATGGGTTAGTGGGTTGAGTTCGGTTCAAACTCGAAACTAACTTCAATCAAATCCAGTTAACCTGAACCTGAACTTTTTAATAAACGGGTAAACAATGTGGACCCAAACCTGACCTACTAGTAACCCAAATGACTCTAATCTGACATGATAATCTATTTTGATTAAAATTTTTTTATAACTTATTAACTATAAAAATTAAGTTAATTGATAAAAATAGAAAATTATGCCTACAATCAAAATAATTTAAGGAAAAAATATTAAAGAAGTCACTTTTGGGTCAAAAGCATATTCACGGGTCAACTCGAACTCAACCCGTCTAGTAAACAGGTCACAATTCTAGGCCTGAACCTAACTCGTTTATTGAACAGGCTAACCCTTACCTAAATTTTTGGGTCGGATCTAGGTTAGGTGGGCGGGTCGGGTCATTTCTTGACACCTTATGAATGAAGAATTGCCTTTTCTTGAGGTATGGTGGTTTTCATGGTGGATTTTTTGGAGATTGGAGTGTCGAGCATTACCATCCTCTTCTTTCATCGGTTCTTATGAGAAAAAAATATAATTTAGTGAGGATAGCTTTTTTATACTTAAGATTTGGACTTGAATTTTAGCAAAGTCATTATTGGACCCAAACTCTCTCTCTTTTTACAAATTGTTTATGAGTTATCACATAATTGCAGCATGACATTTTGAGACTTTGGTAATAATTTAGTTCAAGCAATAAATTTTCATTGTATTAAGTACTCAATTACAAGAAGGTTCTCATAGATCATTCTTTTTTTTGGAGTATGTTTTTTTGGCGACATCCCAAACTTCTTTTGCAGTAGAGGAACATATATGACCCATTGATTTCATGTATCATGATATTCCACAATTATTTCATGATCATGATAGTCCAAACTTTGTGTCCTTCAGCTTTGTAGGAGGATTTGTAAGGTGATCGATCTTTCTCTTTCATTTCAGAAATGCCTTCATAGTTTGGAACTATTTTAGATAGTTTCTCCCATTCAAGTGAACTAGGTTTGTAGCTCATGAAGTTATCCCTTAGTTTTGCTTTCATCATTTATGATGGTTGACTTCTTGGAAGGGAAATTAAAAAACTTAAACATGATGAGGAGAATGAAGAATCTTGATATGAAGTAGAGAGAATAAAGGTTGGAAGAAGCAAAACCTAACCTCAATTTAATATCATGTAGTAAAATAGAAAAAAATTACTTTGAATTTTGTTGTTTGATTTTGTATAAAGTGTGAAAGTACATGTAGATTTTTCCAGAAGTCTTAAAATGTAAATAAATTGAACATATTTACAAAAAAAGTAAAAATGTCCCAAAGTGGTTTTGGCGGCTAGAAGAGGAAGACGAGGTACACATGTTGCAATCTAAGTGCCATAAGATGATCAAACCAATTGTTAAAAACTTTTCACATGTTCAATAATCTTTACTTAAATTGGTTGATTTGTGGGCTTCTCAATCATTTGTCAAGAATTAATCCTTTTATAGTTCTTTTTTTATTACATGATTTATGGATTATTTATTTATTTATTTTTGTTTATTAAGAATTTTTATCAACTGTTAGATTTTCATCAGGGGTTTGGATGGTTGCAAACATTTAATTGGATGAATACATTATTAGGAAACGAGAACACTTAGTCACTTACCAAAATGGAGCTGCCCCATCACCAATAGATTTTTGTTTTCTTAGAAAGAAACAAAATTCTTCTTGCGAAGTTTGTAAGGTGATTCTAGGAGTCTGGCGACACAATATCATGTGTATATAACATAAGGGTTAAAGAAAACAATTAAAGCAAATTATTACCTTGGGATAAAGTGGTGGAATTTGAAAGGTAAGAGAAAGTATTAATTTCTTAAGATAAGTTGTAAATGAGGTATATTGAAATTCCTTAGGTAAGCTAAACCTGATGTGAGATAAGATGGCTAGTTTCGTTAATATAGCACAAAATGTTATCAAAGGAAAGAAATGTGCATTTTTTCTGGGCTCAGGAGGGTTCTGATAGTGTTCTTTGAGAGAGAGAGATGTGTTGTGGGCAACTCTAGATATTGAGGTGTCTCATAGATGCATGGTAAGTTGAAATTCCTTAGTTAAGCTAAGGCTAGTATGGAATAAGATGGTTAGCTTCATTAAGAAGATTGCCTATAAGTTTTATAAAGGTCTAAGAATAGATCATAAATACATAAGGAGTTTTAAGCACAAATGTTATTAAAGGAAATATATATGATTTTGAAGAGTGGTAAAAATTGAATATTTAGATGCATACAATGTTTATAAGAAAATTAGTGGTCTTTCAAGTAGAACATTGAAAATAAAATTTACAATTTTTGATGTTTTATATAGTAGGTCTGGTATTAAGAAAGACAAAAAAGCGATATGTTGATAGCCAATTTATGAATTATGATATAAGAGATACAGAGATTTTGATCATGTCATATGCATTATTAGCAAATATAATATGGGTTTGGTTGAAGTTGAGAACATAATGAAAAGATGAAAATGGTACGTTGGGAAATTATTAATTAAGGTTTTAAGCAAGAAATTTTAGGTTTTGAATCCAGACCTAGTGGGTTACATACTTGGCAATTTTAAGAAAAAAATTATTTTGGAGGGGTATATTAATAGATAATGAGGTATATATAGCTTGATTAAAAAAATAAAGTGAAGTTAACTTTGAAGGAGATGCATAACGTCAGTACATTAGGTATAGATATGATACCAAATAATTAGAGAAAAAAATATTTTTGTATCAATATTTAATAAATGGTATATATTTTTGTAGATAATATAGTTCTAATCTAAAAGACATTCATTGAAATAAAAAATGTAATAATGGAGAAAATATTTAGAAGATAAAATTTAAAATTATTGGAAAAAATAAGGAGTATATGATATGCAATTTCAATCGATGTGATATTTTCTATTTTTAATTAATATTATTAGAATATAGTGTGAAGCCTATATGTGTTAGATAAGTATTTTAAATCTTGCTATATTGGAAAATGTAGATATATTTAATGGTATAATTTTTAGTTAATATTGGGTGGTTATTATGAAAAAGTATTTCAGGAGTACTATGGGATAATAGTACTATTTTGAACACTTAAATGTAAATGTTAAAACCACAATTAGATTGGTGTTGTTCTATGGATCAAAATGACAGGTAATAAAAAAGTAGTTGATACGTAAGTTGATTGTGAGATTGCTAAAATGAATGTGTTTCAAAATTAAGAAGGATTAATTAATGAATGATTCTATTAGAGGAATGGTTAGGGTGATATTTATGAAAGATAATAGAATTGATAATAGATTATGTTGGCTTGCATCCATTAGACAAGGGGATAAAATTAATGTCAAAAGATTAGGAACGAGGAGTAGACATAAGGTTATATGAATATAAGTTCAAAATGATTTGTGAAGAATATGTTTAATACTTCAGGTAATAATCAAGAGAAACATATTAAAAATGAGAATTCATAAAATCAACCCAAATATTTAGAGTAAGACTAATGATGAAGGTGATCATGATTTGCGTACCATTGTTGTTGATAATGTTAGTAAATATCTCTATTTGCTTGTGGTTGGTAGTACCACAACTCCTTCCTAGAGCTGGAGCTTATTTCCCAGTAACTACAAAGGTAAGGTTTGTTTAGGTTAGGTTAGGCCATAAAGAATTGCAGTTTAATTCAAATAGGTTTTGGTTGTTTGGACCCCGTAGAAGTGGATAAAAATTAATGTCAAAAGATTAGTGAGGAGTAGACGGAAGGTAATATTAATAGAATTTGAAAAGGATTTGTGAAGAATATATTTAACATCTCATGCAACACTCTACAAAAATGAATGAAAAATAATAAGCCATAAAGTTGACCCCAAATAGCTGGGATAAGATTATTGACGATGATGACTACGGATCGGGTTCCATTGTTGTTAGCAATTTTTAGTAAATCTGCCTAAATGAATTTGTGTGGGAATGGTAAATCCGCAACTTCTTTCTTCTAGCCTGAGATAGAACTGTGTAGCGTCGAGTTTTATCAACTTTGCTCGACTTATTTCCAGATAAGTTGTCTTAGTAATTGTAAGGTTTGTCTTGGTTAGGTTAGCATTTTTTAGCTGGTGCTGGAATTTGGAGTAAACTGCAAATCATATCTTTGCAAGGTATATCAATTGACGGGTATTATGGATACACACTAAATGCTGCTATTTTCTTTATGACCTGTGTAGTAATGGTGTGGAAACCACACTTAGAATGGTAGTTATTTAAGTATTTATTGTTCTAGTAAAATTAGATGCTTTGACACCTATATGATCCTATATATCTCTGACATTGATAGTTGAGTAGGCAATACGAAATCATTGCTCTGTTTTTACAGTTTCCAGCTTTCGAGTTTTAATGGGGGACACGGATGAGTACCGCTGTTTTATTGGAGGCCTTTCATACTCCACTACTGACAATGGTTTGAAGGATGCATTTGGGAAGTTTGGCCATCTTACGGAGGCTAAGGTACTTCTTTCGCCCATAAACTTGTTTTTTCATTGATAATGTATGTTGATATTGCCTTGGACTGGAAGCTTGCTTTTCAATGATCTGCGTGGTAATATTGAGTTTCTGTCTCTATCTGGGATTTGCTATATACCCTTTTATAATGATATTCTAATATTATTTCTTAACATGCTCACAGCATGATTTTTCATTATGGCTTTCATGTTGATTGAATGATCACTGTTGGTCATTTAAACTAATTATTTTGATTCGATTTATGGAGAGAAATTATTATTATTATTTTGTCCTTGTCAATAATTTAGATGAATTTATTGCGCAGCAACTTATTTTTTATTCTTGTTAAATGTTGGACTTAGGGCTGTTATTGATTGATGGTTTAGATTTAAACAGACTAACCATAACTTTATACTTCTACATGTTATTTTATAGTAGGTCCATATCACTAATTTAAGAAGCTGCAGGTGGCTGTAGACAGGTTTTCTGGCCGATCACGTGGATTTGGTTTTGTCACATTTGATGAAAAAAGAGCAATGGAAGATGCCATTGACGAAATGAATGGAGTCAGTCTTGATGGGCGGTCTATCACTGTAGATAAAGCTCATCCACAAAGTTCCGGCAGGGATCGTGATGGAGGACGTGACTATGACCGGGACCGGGATCGGGATCGTGGTGGTCGTAGCTCTGGTGGAGGGCGAGATTTTGGCAGTGGAGATTGTTTCAAATGTGGCAAACCTGGTCATTTTGCTAGGGAATGCTCTTCTGGTGACGGTGCCAGGGGGGATAGATATGGTAGCAAGGATGACAGGTATGGAGGAAGCAGTGGTAGTAACCGGTATGGCTCGGATCGCAGTGGAGATCATTATGGCGGGCGCAGCAGAGATCGTGGTTATGGTGGATCCGGGAGTGACCGTTATAATCGTGATCGTTCTGGTCCTTACGAACGTCCAAGTGGGGGCAGTTATCGCAATTGATGCAGGGCTTACTTTTGTTTCAGGTATGTTGTACTTTGTTTACTACCTACTTTTAAATCGTATCTAAACAAGCATATTCTATTATCTGATGATGCAGGCAGTGTGTCTTGATGGAGTTGCTGATGTCAAAAGCCTTGTGATGATGATAGTCTTTCTTTGTTGACTGTTGGCCACTAAATTATCTTATTATCCTGCTTTAGGATCTGCAGACATGTTCTTTTGCAAGCGATGATCTTAAATGGAATATTACTGGATGACCTGTAATGTTTTTCTCTCAACTGTTCGTATTCTGATTCCTTCTACTGCTTCTTAATGGTTGCTTGACATGAAACCGATCTTCGTTCGTTACTGTTGCCACTAAATTCGAGTTGATTTGCTGTCTCGCTTCTTTCTGGTTCTTTGTTGGTGCTTTTGTCCTTAATCTTGATGCAATAGAATCTGTAAAGGAAGAATTTTCACTTATCAAGATCAAAATTTGGGCACATCTACTTGCACACTAATTTCCTCAGGACTGGGAAAACAGTATTTTTACTCGGGTTACCATTGTAGAAACTGGTAAGTCTATACCTTCTGATATCCATGAGGTAGTTGATTTCTTCATGATCCTCTGAGTGATTTTAGTTGTGTTTTTGACAGGCTACACTCGGGATTTTGTATTTCTTGATTCTTTGTGCTCTGGGTTACTGGGTGCTAAGTCTTGCATTTGTTGGAATATGATTGTTTGAACTTTGCTAGCTGAGGCTCTTTGAAAAAACAAAAAACAAACAAAATTTAACAGTCTGGTCACTTGGTTCCCTTTTTGTTAATCCGGGAGAGCCTGTCCTGCAATATATGCATTGCTGCAGACAAGTAGAAGCCTTTAACTGCCAGACTGTGCTGTTTTATTGTCTCATTAGTTTTGGTTTCAGAGGTGAAATTAATCGCTGAGTTGTCCCATTTGCTAGAGACTTCCATCAGATGGTTCAGTCAAAAGCCTTAGCCCAGGCTTCATTTGGGACTGCTTTCTTATTGCTTCTTAAATCTATTTTTTAGTACAAAATTTTAAATTTTTGTATTATAAAACTGTTTTAAGAAGCAGAAAGAAAACTGTTCCAAACGAAGTCTTAATTTGTTCTGAAGGCATATTTCTTTTTATCCAGCTTTCTTTTAAACTCTCCCGTTGAGATTGCTGATATTAGGCCTTGTAAAATCAATCTTATGGATTGTTTTGTGGTTATTTCATTGAATTCCTCAGTGTGAAGCCGAGTAGTTTTTTAATTGCGCTGATTGGCATTTCATTCTCCTCACTTGACTCTTCTTTTTCTCGGGGAGTCATTAGATAGTAATGTTTCTCATTTTTTGTTATTGTAGAGTGTTAAAATGATTATGAAGTCATATATGCTGGATATTTGACTATTTTTATTTGCTGAGCTTTTTATTTTTTATGAATTTAACGGTAATGGCAGGTAAGCTGGTTCGGTGTAGTAGAGAGTCAACTCAGGTACAGTCCTTTTGTTATAACCTCAGCTACTGCTAACTTTCATTCTTTCAACTAGCAGTTTACTGATTTTTCTGTATCACATGATCACATTTATTTTTTGAGAAATTTACATACATACCACTTTATACCATCCTATTTACATATCTAATATCAAAAATTTTAATATTACATACATATCACCCTATAATATTTTAATATCAAATATGCCACTCATATATTTCATTTCTATTATTAATATTTGATATGAAAATGAACTATGTGTGGTATATATGTAATAATAAAGTTTTAAGTGTTAAATATGTAAATAGAATAGTATATGGTGATATGTATGTAAATCTTCCTTATTTTTTTCAGTTATTCCTATTTTTTATCTTTTGCTGTTCAAAACGGTTACAGCAGAACTTGTGATGAGCTAACCAACCTTTAAAAAAGTTTCCGTCTCCTTGCTAGAAAAAATTATTTTGTGTGGACATCGGATGACATTCGGGGACCAATTAGAATGTACCACGTCATTTTTTTTGCTCGTTAACGGTGCTTGGCACCTCTCGGTATGGGTGATATGATGCGTTTTGGGTGGTCTCCGAATCGTCCGATTTCCGCGTAGAATAATTTCTACCTTGCTTGACCCCATTACATTCCTCAGCCATCATACTCTCTGACTTGCCATCATTGAGGACTCCTATTAGCTTCGCGACTCTTTCTCACATGCAACCTTCCTCTTCATGGCTTCATCTTGCAAAGAAGGGTTTTGAAATGTAAACTTGTACGAAGATTTCATTTTCTTCCACTTCTGTTAGCATTTATTTTCATTCATTTATTCTTCTTCCACCCAAATTCTTCATTCTTTAAACTAAATGTTCATGCCCCATAGAAATTGTCATTTCAGCTTTTATTATGATTGTTTTTTTTTTCTTATGCTCGTTATTTGTTTTCTTAACATTGTTTATATTTTGTTAAGAAATACAGAATGCCTAAGATCTCAAAGCACTCCAGTGGCCGTAAGTTTAAAAAATGGACTCCATGATCAGTTGAGTTTTTTAATAAATTTGTAGTAAATATAGTGGAATTGAGTGAGATGAACCCAGTAATGTTTAAATTTGTGTTCAAATGACCTAAATTCAATCACCTAGAAGCTTGATTGAAAATTGTTCAACATTATTTATGAGAGTAAACACCTTAGAAATTTGTTATTATTATAGTTGAAACAAGCATATTGATAAGATAAAACAAAAGGTTTAAGATTGCTTAATTTCAAGATAATTAAGGCACTAAAGTGGTCAGAAAATATAACATAATCAATGGGGATTTTCTCTAATTTTATGGATTGTTCTTAGTTTTTTGTAGGATGTCAAACACCCTCGGCCTAATTCATACACATTTGAGGATTTTTGGCAGAGTAAATACTCATACTAAGAATACGAGCGCTCTTGCTGTCATTTAGTGTCAATCACAACCATTATTTTCAATCACCCTATATTTTTAATGGTCATGAGGACGTTCTTGTTGATCACCATCTATCATCTAACATTTGATATTAACATTCTCCACTGCCCTCAACTAAACATTTGTTATAGCTAGGCATTGAATAATGTTGATGATTGTTGTCACTCGCCCCTCCAACTATTGTCATAGTTCGTCCTATGATGGCAAACATCGCTCTACTATCACACACCATCAACTGTTGCCTATCCTTTGATATCCACTATCAATTGATGATACATCTATCATTATGTGTCAACAAACACCGACGCCCACTATTACTCATCCTTGAATAGAGGCTTTTGCCACCATCATCAATCAACATTGACGTCCATTATCATCCATTATCTATGTATCAACATCGGTGCCTTCTAATATTCTCTACTACGATTGCATGAGATTAACCTATATAGTTTAGACTTTTTAATTGTGCGCCCTTTTGCAGTAGAGAATGATAAATTGACAACTTTCAAAATATATTGTGAAACTTTTTTAACTTAGCTAAGCTGTTTACAACTATTTATGAGAAATGGTCCCATCGTAGTGTCTTTAAATAGTTTCTTAATAGCCAATTAGCATAATTCCTATAAAATTATAGCCTCTCACCTCAACTCTTATAGCTCTAAAGAAAGTTCTTAAACCAAGGACATGCGAGGACTATGCCTATTTCCTTCTAAACAAACATAACCTTGTTAGTGAAGGTACCTTTGGCCTAGAGAAATGCATTAATAGAACAAAGAAACCTTAAAATTACATGATTTAGGTTGTGTGAGATTCTCCCATTGGAATTTACCTCCTCCCTCGGGTTAGACGCTTGGAACTAACTAGCTCGATGATACCCATACAATGCCCTTTCATAATCAAACTTGAATTCCTTCTCCACTATAACATAACCAATGACATCTTCTTGGGTTTTTAAAATTGGTTTCAGGCGGGTTCGGCACCGCCTCAAATCTGGGTTGATCGACCCGACATGTTGACCCGGGAGCAGAGTAGGCGAGCAAGGGTTGGCTGCAAGTGCGAGCCTAGCAGTGCGCGCGACCGATGCTGGTGCGAGCCTGGCAGTAAGTGCGGCCGATGTGGGTGCGAGCTTGACAGTGCATGAGCAGGGCCAACAGGCCTTGAGGTCGAGCGAGGGGAGCAGGTTGCGACCCGAGGTGTGTGGGTGTAGGACACATACATGACGTAGTGCGTCGGTGCGGACAAGAACGCGTTATGCGGGACAACCGGAGGAATGCGGTGCGGGGCCTGAGGGTTGGTCTGAGCTGGAGTTGCGGATGCAGATCACATTCGAAATTTCAGGTCAACACAATTCCGAACCGATTTTAAAAATGGGTCAGAATATTGAACCCAGATTATTTGTCAAACGAGCTGACCGATCCCGAAATTTTTTCAACTCGGGTTGAGGTTTGGTTTCGGGTCGGATCAAATATTGACACCCCTAACATCTTCAAAACCGCCAAGTCCATCACAATCAAATTTATGCTTAATTCTCTAATAACCATTATTAATTTGTCCCAACATTACAACCCTATATCCCTAACACCCCTTATAATATCCTTTAATATGAGTTCTAATGTTTGGTAAGAGAAGATGCTAATTGGGAGATAATAATTAAATTTCTTCTTGTCAATATTTAGGAGAAGTTGCCTCTAATTTGTTATCATTTAGCAACCCATTTCAATTGGGTTTATGCTACTTATTATAAACTCGCATAATGGGTCGTATGACCCAAAATACAAGTATATCAATCACTATAATATCATCATGCGCTTTTAATGGTCCTCTTATGCACTTTTGTGCTATTTTTTCTCACTACCTTCAAAGGTTGTGTGTGCACCTGGTTCTACTATCTCTCTAAAGGTATTTATGTATTAAATTATAAAAATTATAAATTTTTATATTTATCATTTTAGTGTTTAAATTATATCAAATTATACGGATGAATATATGTTTTATTTTTAAATAAGATAAATTAATGTTTAATTTTATTTGGTCTAGAGATTTAAGTTTTATATAAATAAATGTAAAGATTTATATGTTATATATAAATTTTGTGCTATGCAAATCCATCAATTTTTTTATTTTAACGTTTAATTTTGAAGATTTTGATAAAATCTTAGTTTTGATATTAAAAAAAAAATCTATTTTATTAAACTTATAATGTTATTTGGTGGATTGGGGATTCAAAAATGAAAAAAATATAATAATATTTGCATTGAGAGCTCTTGAATTTTCTTAAAAATTTACATAGCATGGATGCTACATATGATGTTTAAAATGGTATTAATCTTAGCTTGAATTTAATGACTTTAAAATCTGTTATGATGCAAACTATGTCATGATATTTTATGTAAATTTATATTATTTTAAAAATTCGTCATCTAGAAAGCGATGGGAGGTCGGATGTGCGGAGTTTTGATAAATCCGGACTCTGATGAGATTGCGCTACGTCGTTTGTACGGTAGTGTGTACAAACGATGTGGTGAAATCTACGGGTATCAATTTAGGTCAACAGGTGGCGTTCGGGTCCAACCAGAGTTGACTTGGGAGTAAATGAGTTGACCTGAACCTTACCCGTTTAGCTAAATGTGTTAGGATTTACAACACGGACCCGACCCGTGTGGGTTAACCCGACTCTGCCTACAATCACGTAGGTCCTGGGTGCACCGCGAAGTTGTGAACACAACGGGTGAGGTGGAGCAAGGATGGGCTGGCGGTGAGGTCGGGGTCGCAGTAGTCGCTGGGTCGACTGGCATCACCGATGAGTTCAGCTTCTGCAGGCGGTGGGTGACT